GTAGGCCTATCCGAGCTTTGCAGAAAGCATTTTCAGAAAAAATGGTTAAAAACAATTATCAGCGGTTGAAAAATTTGTTTTCGAGCCAACAAATCAATAGTTTGTTTCATCACCGACTTACCAATTATTCAAATTTTCAAAATCGCCCATTCAGACAGGAAGTAAAAATGAGCGTATCGCAAGGCTTTTTATGTGACAAAAAAGTCAATAGCGCCTTTTAGTTTGCCATCTTATCGAAAAACATTTGCTGGGTTTTGCTAAAATCCTTCGACTAGGAAATGCCTCAGCACCCTTTTTTATTAAATTGTCCTACCAGTAAAAACTATTATTAAGGCATTTGATGAAAAAGAATCAATTTCTGTCATCAAAAGTGTTTTCGTTTTTGAATAAAATTTTACAAAGTTTTATCAAAATTTACCATACGGACAAAGGGGTCAAGGTAATATTATATTTCAAAACCTTAACAATGAAAAAAACATGCGTTTGAATTCTAACTTTCGATAAAATTATTTGACGCAAACCGACGTTTCGCAGAATTTTTCAAAATATTTCCGATGATAACGATGACATAAAAAATAACAAAACTCAAATACTGACTAAATTATCACACAGAAAACATAACAAATCAACCACTGCTGCTCAAAAAGTTCTTTCAAAACCCAATTGACGAAGAAAAAAAATGCTCGAATATAAAACAAGGAGACCAACTAAAGCTGGCGGTACGAGTTCGATTTTTTAAATTTGTTATAATTATGAGAGATGAGAAGGAAAGTTGCCATAATTTGAAATTTGAGATTCAATCAAAACCATAATTGTTTTTCTAATAAAAAACAAATAGGTGAAAATTTTTGACATTTGGGATTCTACCAAGGAAATGACACTTTTATTTTGAGGCGTAGCAGCTTATGCACCAAGTTGGTTTGTAAAAACCGTTGCCTCGATTTAACCCTTGTTACTAGCCATAACTTCTTTTGATAGAAAATTTGGACGTAGCCGCTTGCACAGGGGAGCTTCACAACTTTTTCATTTGATTCAAACAAAAATCGCACATTTGAGAAGGTAGTTATCGATAAAAATCTGGTGAATGACAAGGAGACGTATCTGATCCAGCAAATGAGCTTTATAGGCAGTTATGAGAAAACTTAAAGTAAACATTACCATAGCAAGTCACTCAATTAGTAGAAAATTATTAGCCGAAAATCTCATGGAAGCAAATAAATCCTGGCCATTAAAAGGTACCTCAAGATTACTATTCAAAAAAAATTGATAAAAAGCAAGAAACTTATTCGACATTTGCACTAATTGTTCAAATACCTCTAATCAATAGCTGAAAATCATTTTCGTCTAACTTTCGCTTCGATTTAGTGCAAAAACCATCACAAGAATAACCCCCCTAAATGTTTTGACTGCCCCGTAGCTTGTTTGTTATTGACAACGAATCATCTTTCGAGCTCAGACGTTCTACTGGAAGATACGAATAAATTCAGAATTTAGCCAAAAAAGGAACTGCCCTTTTTGCTAATACACTCACATCACAAAACCTCAAAAATTACATCAAAAAAGATTCAAATTGCCGCATTCAGATTCGCGCATTTTTAAAATCAGTTAGCCAAAACAAAACAACCAGAGGTAGTAGGCCTATCCCAGTTTTGCAGAAATCAATTTCTAGCGGTGAAAATTATTGTTTTCGAACCAACAAATCACTGATTCAATTTTAAAAAAATTTGCTGAAGCAGACAACAGTTCAAAGGTAGCCTCCCAAGGCCTTTTATTCAACAAAATTATTTTTAGAAGAGCCTTTTTAGTTTGCCATCTTTTCGACGAGCATTTGTTGGGTTTTGCTAAAAAGCTGGGTTTTGCTCGAAAACGCATCAACACAATTTACTAAAAAAAGTAAAAGTTTTTAGAAAGGCATTTGAGAAAAAAAATCAATTTTACCATCACGAGATGTTTTTTTTTGAACAAAACCTCGACAAGTTTTTATCCCAAGTTACCATACGGACAAAAGGCGTTCAAAGCCCTTAAATTTTAGTGTAAAAACTTCGAGCATTGCAACTAATGCAGGGGAGCTTCACTGGACACGTTCTCTCCATTGAATCCAAAATCTCAGATTTAGGAGGATAGTCGAAAAATGTCAAAAAGTCAGAAAGCCATAACTTCTTGTGGAAAAAACTTGAACGTATCCACTTATACAGAAGAGTTTCTCCGTACCCTTTTGTTTTCGATTAAATCCAAAAATTTAGATTCCGGAAAGCGTTTTTTTTTTCATAGAAATCAAAACGTTTCAAGAAAAGGTAAAAATCAAAAAACCGAAATCTTGGCTTTTTCAGTGAGCCATAACTTTCAAGTGAAATTTTTTTTTTCACACAACCCCTTCAATCCATTGAACTAACCAACATCTCGAACATGGGAAGGTAGCTTCCGAGAAAATGAAGAAAGAATTCAAAAGAGGTCTAAAATCCCACCCGACAGACTTTTTCGAGGGCTGTATGGAGAAAATGTGTTAAGGTAAAAAAAGACTAGAGGATTATGCCTGCAGACAGAGGAGTGGGAGGTGCATCGATTGGCTCACTGTTTTGGAAATCAAAACAGAAGTTTTTGTGAGCAAAATTAGTATTTTTGAATAATGAAAAATTTTCCAAAGCGTCTCAAAATAAAATGGAAAACAAAAAAAAACAAATCCCGCACATTTTCATGATACCTGTTTTTTATCAAAAGCAGGAAATTCTCCCGTTCAAGGAAAAAGAAAAACAGCAAAAACTTGCAAAGAAAAAAAAACTTTTATGATTTTGGATTGTGCAGCCGTTTAGAGATTATCGACCCTTCAAATTAGTTAACCAATTGGCTGAGCATTTTTTGTTACGCTGAAGAACAATATTTGTCATTCGTATTTCAATTGTTTCGCGAAAAAAATTGTTTATTAGCTGCAATCAGTAACAAAAAATCATCTTTCCCGAAATTAAATTTTTAGCTCTGATATTCTTTCTTGTCTGGCATTGTTTTGACGATGGCTACAAAGAGACTGATGGCTGCTAAAGTTTCAAACTAAAAACTTAACTTTGACTGATTTTTTACAGATTTGCTACAAATGAATCAGTGCGGGAAAATGAATCGTGTAAATTATGGAACATCAACATGCGCTTTAGTTAAATTTAGGTAAACCTTTTTAAAAGTGATCGACTTTTTTTAAAAATGCTATATTGCAGTAGTATTGTCAACCCACTTGTTGATCTTTCATCAGCCTACTTGCATTTTAAATTGGCATGAGCTTTAGGAATCAAGTGAGGGACTAATTGTTACATTGAACAGACCAAGTGGAGGAAGGGTAGAAGTAGAGAATACGATGGTTGAGAGGAAGATCAGTCGGTAAGGTCCTCTTCTGTTCAAGCTGAAAATGGCGAACTTAGCCACTTATCTTTTCATGATTAAGATGAGCGATTTGAAATATCATAATAATAAAAGTAGGAAGGAAGCTTTGGGAGAAAAATGAAAAAAAAAAAACTGAATGAAAATGTTTCAATTTGTTCACTCTTTGTTTTGTTCACTCCTCGTTTTATTTTTGCACATCTTTTTGACTTTTTATTTATCATAATCAATGAGCAAAAAATCAGTTGCGTACTATGCTTGCCATTAACTCTTTTCACTCGACCTACCCTGATTAGCCTATCGTTTCCCCAGCATTTACATTCAACTATTTTGATGGCCACGATAAAGTTCAACTATGGTATCGGTTCGTATACCTGAACTTCGTTTTCCTCAAATTTTCGATTTTTTAACACGGTTCTTGTTGCGCTGTTCATACCCAAAAACAACGTTCCAAACTTATCATTTCTGGGCTTAGGTCTTCCTCCGTTGGCTCACTTTCAAATTTTTAGCAGCTCAAATGATTTGAGCGGTAGTGTTTTCAGCATCATTTCGAAACTTTGCCATCGGTCTTGAATTGGGAAAAAAATTTCCATCTGACGAAGCACTGTTTACAGATTACGTATCAAATGGTATAATTCCCAGTCGGCAAAAAAAGTTAAAATTCCCAAATGGCATAAATTTCAAAAAATTCCCAGTGGCATAAAAATTGTAAATTTCCCAGATGGCATAGATAGTCTTAACTTTTGAAAATTGGCAGTAAGATTCAACCGAAAGAAATAAATTGGTTTTTATTATTACAAATTTTGTCAGATTTCTGAAATACTCTCCCAATATTCGTCGATATCAAGCAATTGGGCTTTCAATATTTGAAGTGAGCCTGGAGCCGCACTCAGTTTCAGTACAAAAGCAAAAACATTTGGTTTATAAAAGCATCCGTTATAAAAACATTGCAACCCCGTCCCCTTTGAAAAATTTCAATTTGGTTGATTTCTTTAAATTCTGATAGTTCTACTTGAATTAAATTATGATGAGTCATGAGTATTTTGTTAAAAAACATAATAAGGCGTAAAAACTGTCTGGAAAGATCTAAGAGACTAACTTCACGCCTAACAGTTTTCACAAAACTGACGGAATGCAAAAAAAAATCCAAAAAAAGTTATCTTCGCCTGAAAATCTGAGCAATTAAGTTTTGAAAACCGAAACTTCCCGCATTCTCGGAAAGCATTAATAGATAGAAACATATTTTCATTTAGCACGCACTATAAATTGAATAAGCCGATAAAACAGAGGTCGAGACCATTTGAGCCGAAAATACCTTTAGAGCAAAAAAAGACAAAAAATCCGAACGGAAAATTACAAGGAATCAGAGATGACAAATTGCAAGAAATATTTAAAAATAAATCAAATAGGGCAAAAGCTTAAATCGTAAGAAAAACAACGTTGTGGCAACTAAGCTTAACCCGAATTCAAGAACGCTTGCTAATGGCTCTGAAATTAACAAATTTGTCTGACAAAAAACTCCGAGCCCAAAAATTGTCACGTTATTCGAATAATGGAACATGACACTAGGAACATGGGATTATGATTTGCATGCTTTATCTATCTGTTAATGTTATGACTATGGTAATAAGAATAAATTCGCAAATTTTAAATTGGCAGAATTGCTCAAATAAATTGAGAACATTTACAAAAATAGTCATTTAATATGAAAATGTACAACATACCGCATTAACAAAAAGAAAGGACGAATAATAAAATTTAAAGAACAGATAACTAATTTTAGAGCCAGAAGTTCAATCAGACTTCGAGTTCCATAGACGGATTAAATAGTACTGCACCTGGACTGCTAGAAGACCCGCTGCCTCCGCCATGCGGCGACAACTTGGGCGGTAGGTGTGGGTGTCTGGAATTAGTGTGTGTGCCTGGACCCAGCAGCTGGATGCCTGCCACCTTGTTAGTTCCACTTCCCACCACTGCTGTGTACTGTGCATTGGGAGTGACGGCTGACCCATTACACATTGACATCGGAGCCTGGTGGTGCATGGGAGCCGGGGGCGGAGGGGGAGGTTGTTGTTGGTTCGGAGAATGACTGGCCCAAGTCCCTGCCGGCGAATCGCTGCTGTGGTCATTGAAGTTCAAATCACTACTGGGAGAGTTAGCACTAGAGGGCGAAAAAGTGTTCACGTGGTGGTTGTTTGCCCCCATCATTCCTCGCAAGTTCTGTTGCATCTGCTGGCCTTGGATTTCGGCTAAGGCTGTCATCTGTCTGAAACTACTCGAGGAACTGGAGCGGGGCGAGTCGCTCTGATAGGAAGCTGGACCATTCACGCCATTCGAGGCAGCATTCATTGAGACGTGGTTTTTCAGAGGTTGGCTGTTGTAATTGTGCACTGCTTGATTTCCGAGTTCGTTGAAATGCTGACCTCTCTGGATTCGTTTTTCGTCGCAGACTTCGTCCGAACGCAGCGTTCCATTGGTTTTCGCTGATTGCAGCGCCTCCGAATCCCGGCTCATAGATTTCATTTGATGATAATTTGCGTTCTGTACATTATTGTTAACCAAATAGTTGGATGCACTCTTGAAGTTATTCACGTGGTTATGGTTGTTTAGCGTCGAGTATGTGTGATTAGCGACGTCAACGGTTGCGCTTCGACTCATAGGCAAAGTAAAGGAGTTTCCACTTGAGCTGTTCTGATAGACATACAGTTGAGACATCTGCTCGTCGCTAGGCATCGTCGGAGCAGCGGGAGGTGGAGGCGGCGGAGGTGTGTGGTCTGATGAGCACACGGAACATACGGACAAGGCCGATGCTTGGCCCCCGTGTTGCGGAGGAACTCCGTTATGCTTGTGATTCATTTTGTACGATTTCATATGGCCGCTTTGCAAGTCTACAATTTCCTCAGCAAAAACCACTGGTGGGTTTTTAGTCTTTACAGGCGCAAAATTGCGAGTGTCTATGTTTTTGGGTTTCCTGCCACGTCTCAAGCAGCTGTCGTTGCTTCTCGCTCTCACCAACACTATCGCTACAATCAACACAACTGTAGCTATGATCACTACAAATACAATTGGCGATGAAAAAATTGACTTCCTTTGCATATCAGAAGAACCACTAGTGCCCGCAGGAGGCAAAGACGATGCAATCGCGGAGCCGCCCTGCTCGTTGAACAGTGCAACTTTTTCTACGCACGGACCTAGAAAAGTAGCATTTATTGAGTGCAAGTTATACTTCGCCAAGGCTCTTGTTAGCGCATTACTTGGCTTCACTCCAGAATACTGTGTCAACAAGGTCCGATCAAGATCTAAATTCTCGCCAGCAAGTCTGGAGAAGTAAGTTTGGATTTTCGTCAATTGCTTGTCACTGCAGGGCAAGTAGCCAACCGAGTGGACCGTGATCCACAACTCGAAGAAGTTCAACCCCCTTATGTGGGAGTACTGGTCAACTGTCAGCTCAGAAATATTCCGTTCAATAACTTGTGCGATTTGGGACAGAACGTCCAACTTGATATGTATTTTGTAACGAAACTCATCGAAGTTGTAGCTGAGTCGAAAACCGAACTTATGATTTGGCAGTATTTTGTTCTTGAACACTAGAATTTCCAAGGGTCCTTTGAGTGTAATGAGCTGATTGAACTTGTAAGTACAGGTCATGTAAAATCTGTTGAAGCCTTCTTGGGCACTCATTGGAAGTCCTTCGACGCAGTGGCTCCTGTCATTCCAGTAAATCCACGACTCCTGGTCATCAGAAGGCGGAGTTTTGGTCAACTCAAATTTGAAATTTCCTAATTCTGCTACTGGGATTCCATTCAAAAGCAACGCCTCCTTTGTAATGCATTTCCTGAAGTATTGGCCTTCTGGAATCTGCACTGATTTCTGGAACAGAGTTTTATTCAGTTCCAGCTTGGGAGTGTCGTCTATAAATCCGCTGCCACTGTCCATGTCTGTTTCCAAATCATCAGCAGATCTGACACCCCGCCATGGCCCCGCATTTTCTATCATGCTGTGTTGTTCTTCCAAGGACGGCGAGGGTTTGAATTGAGTTAAAACAACTGAATAACTTTTGTTTAGTCGGCTGGCGTAGCTGATCCAATTTTCAGCCTCAATGGGCAAATAATTTAAAACGGAGAAATTTTTCTCGCACTTCAAAGAGCAAAAAGGTAGTGGGTAACTAATACTAATATATTGCACGAGCGACTGTTTGAATTGCAATTTGTGATTATTGCACAGAATATTGCGATGTTTTAAGTGTGTAAGCAGTGAAAAGGAAGCCAATTTTAAAAAGCGAGGCAGAACTTGACTTGGGTCGAAGAAATCTGAAATTATCCGCAAGAGACTTCGAGGCGCTCCTTCTTGTATAGGCTGACTCAAATGCTCATCCATTGGAAACAGAATCGTAATTGCTACTGGATATTTTCGAGCACAGTCATCATTTTGAGAGCCGAATCCATTCCTAACAAACCCAACTCGTTTCAAGGTCGAAGACTTCACAACCACTCTTATGTTGGGATACAAATCATGTCCACAATTTGAGAACAGATTCCTTGTTCCAATGTCTCTTTGAGCAGGAATTCCTTGCAACGTCTTATTCAGGGCGTCCCAAGTAAGCCATGGAAGCACACAATTGAACAGGGAAGAATCAGATAGCTGAAACAAAGCAAACCATAGAATATCAATGGAGTGCGGTCTGTAATTAGACAACCGCGTAGTCATACTCGTCAGCAAGCAGACAAATATCATATTAAACAATCAGAATCGAGAGGAGAAAGCAAACTTACGAAATAAATAATTATTTATTATTCATTTCTTCCTTGTCTCGATTCTGATTGGTTAATACAGTATTTGTCTGCTTACTGACGAATCCGAATACGCGGTTGTCTAAATACTTCTACGTAGCCAATATCAATCAAATACATCTTAGCTCCAGCTACTAAGACATGGATTCGTTCGAACTAGCTTGGTTAGATAGTCAATTGAGATCAAGCTAGCTGTTCAAAACCCTTCTGTGTACCTTAACTTTTTTAGCCAAAGAACTATTATTACAAAACGGTCCAATCACAGTAATTCAACAGTATTTAAAAAAATTTAGTTGTTAACAATTGGTGAACATTTTGACAGTTTTTTCTGGGTATCGAGAAACTTGAAATCAAGTTAAAAAAAAAGGTAAATAAGTTTCAAAAACAATCGGACCTAGTTAACTATTTCCCCGCCTCTTGCAAAAGTGGTCCCTTAGTTCACTACTACGAAACAAAGGCAAAGCTGAGATCGAATCATTTGCGATACAACACAAATATGAAAAACATAAGTCGAAAAAAAATTTGAAAAAAAACTAGGTGGACCAAAATTTTCGTAAGCCTCGATAAGAGACAACTAGGGGCACAGCTGAAGCTGGAGGTACGTGTTTGATGATTTTTGAAATTGTTATACTAACGCGCGATGAAATGTGTAATTTCAAAAGTTGGACTTTGCCCCAAACCTTTGTTTTGTTTCTATACTAAAGTGAAAAGAATGAAAATACTGAGAGTGAAAATTTTTTTGAGATTTTGGAATTTTTCAAAACATAAAAAATTTTCGATAAAAAATAAGGAGTCGCCGCTTCTGCAGCCGGTTTCTTTCTCGCAACCGGTTTTTTCGATTGAACTTTTCATCTCAGATTTAATAGGTTAGTTTTTAAACGGTCAGAAAATCAAAAATTTGACTTTCCGAAATCCATAAATTTTTTTCTGCAAAAAGCAGGTCATAGCCGCTAAAATAGAGAAAATTCCTGAAATCATAATTCTCGATTGAACGCTTAACTTGAGAATTGAATCGGTAAGTTTTCGAGCCATGTCAAAAATTTTCAAAAAACGGTTAAATTAATGTTTAAGGCCGTAACTTTTGTCAAACAGAAATTGGGCGTCACCATGTATTAAGGTAGGCTTCTATCAACCTGTTCTTTTAATTAAGACTATGATATCAGATTTGGCAGGATAGTTATCGAAAACAATCTTTAAAAAAAACGGAAAATAAATCAAAAATTTGATATTTACGAAAATCATAGCTTTTCGTTTAAAAATTTGGGCGTAGCCGCTTAAGTAGAAGAGTATCCCAGAACTTATAATTTCGATTGAACCCAAAAACTCAATCTTAAAACAACGGTCAAAAGATCAAAAAATTTACTTTTCCGAGGGGCGATAACTATTTGTGTAAAAAATTGGGAAGGGCCACTCAAGCAGCGAACCCATGCAGGCCCCTCTTGCTATCCGTTATCTCCATTGGTCCCACGATCTCATATTTGGGAGACTAGTTTTCGGGAAAAGTCAAAAAAATTCAAACACGGTCAAAACTCAAAAACTAGACTTTTCCAAGGACCATAACTTTATAAGTAAAAAAACTTGCAGAAAAAAAAACAATTCCAAAGCGTCAAAAAAAATGAAATAAAAAACTCAATCCCATACATTTCCATAATACCTGTTTTTATCAAACAGGTATAATCTAGGCAAACATGCCAAGCAAGACAATCAATTAGCAACGGAACGAAACATACCAAAGCCGACAATCTTTGGGCAGACACTGTTGAAAAAAAATTGATTAGATAAAAACTTTAAAAAGTTGTAGGTCTTCCTGAAACAGCAACGAAGAACACTTGCAACTACCATGATACTTCTTTACAGCACAAGATAATTTGTGATGTGGCAACAGCCGACAAAACTTGAACAGATAGAGGAAGTCCGACATCAATTTATACCGGAAAATTTTTTATCAATTGCATACATACTGAAAAAAAACAAGGTCAGGTCGGGATTCAAACCCTGGACCTTATGGTGCAAAGGCAACGGGGTTTCTTCTAGGACAAATGCAAAGAATCTGGACGCTGTTAAGAAAAATTGTTTACGGAAAAAGTCTAGATAAACAATAATCGCATAAGCTTAGCCATTGAATTAGTCCTTGATAAGGATAGATAAAGGTTTCATCAGATGCAATACAGTTACAAAGATCCATACAACAGTTATAACCAGAATTCTAGGAATTGTTAGTCGAATATTCAAATCGTTAGTTAATTATTAACATTATCAACTTTTATGCACTGACATCGATGCAACCAATGCTCGCTTAATAAAAACATAACTCTCATTTAGACCAAAAATTCTGACAATTGTACTCCAAAATAATACATTTCTGCTCGAAAAACAACATTTTGATTAACAGTGAAATAGTACTCTTGCATAAGTTGCAAGCCCCAAAACAACCTCAGATGATTTACAATAGGTAGCTACTTTGAGGCTAGGCCTTTTATTGAACTACCACGCAAAAAGTCATTCAAACGGATTGTTTCAAAAGCTGACTTTATAAAAAGCAAACAATTCCTCCGCTGCGGTAAGAACTGGCTTGAATTGAGATGTCAAGTGCGCATGAATTAATGAGGCCGCTTAACAAGATTTCTCTGCTGAAAAAATGAAAATAAAATTTTGCTTATACAATGTGACATTACCATCATCCTGTCCAAATGAACGTCTCAATCAAAACCATTATCGTCGGAGTCTGATAAAAGCCCTCTATTTCAGTTTTCTGGCACTGTTAGTCTGGCGAAAATTAGTACCCCGTTACTTCAATTTGTCATAATTAGTTTTACAGAGCAAAAATCACTCAACATTTTTAATTTGGAGGTGAAGAACGAAATTAAGCAAACTCGACAACAAAGTTATCCTAAGTTATCCATTAACAAAAGTTTATAATCGCAAGCGTAATCACATAGCGCCAAAAAATTATCAAATAGCTCCGAAAATTTACCTAATTATTCCATAAACAAAAATTTATCAAATAGCGCCGAAAATTTGCAAATCTTAAATTATGAATAGAGGCGAAGCTGAGCTTTGCACCACTTGCAATACAACTTTGATAAAAATCAAACGGAAAAATTTTAAGAAAAGAATTCAAGAAATGGTTTTTGTCAATACATAATTGTAAATAAAAAGCTGTCTCAAGCAGTTCTGTCACCTCTGTTACCTCTACGCCAGATATTTTATTGAATTTGAACTTATTATTAACATGTGGTAAAAAAGCCGAAAACACCTGAGCACAAACCTTTCATGCCTAAAACAATTCAGAAAAAATTCTCAACTAATAAAAAAAAAATTTCATGTCCCTTTTCCCCTCAGAGCACACGCACGCACACACAATTTTTTTCGATCCCCGAACGACGCAATAAAAGACCACTAGGTCGATATAAATTAAGCCGAAACTTAATAACCTGATAAAAAAGACAAAAAAGAAAAAAATTTGGCAAATCGAGTTGTTAAAATTGCAACCAGAATTAAAAACAAATTCCGATTCCGCCGGATTTTTAAAATGCTAAAATACTTAAACCAATTACAGTTGTTTACAGCAAAAAAAGAAACGATTCTTAGATCTGGTAACTAAGCCAACGAAACATAAGCTGACAAATAATAGACCACATTTTTTTTTGAACCGGAACATGTACCGTTAAAAAAAAACAGGTCCTAGTCAGATTCGAACCCGAGAACCTTTGGCATCCCAGTCGTATTCGTTAACTCCACGCTAATTTTACAGTAAAAAGTCTAGTATTCGATTGCATACCATTGCTTATCGCAAGGGTGAAAACTACAGAATTCTCGTATGAAGGCGAAGCCCTGAATTTTTTAACTCGGAACCTGCTCTAGATTGAAATTTTAGTTTTTGCTGTTATATCTCCCCCACATCCCAGATGTTGTTATTTTGAACAACTAAGTAGCCTGAATTTAATTTGAAATCAGTTATTGGCAATATCCCAAATTGGCTATTTTCAGACCATAATCACTTGGTTACAGGAAAAACAAATTTCAAATTTCCAACATAGGACATCAACATCTTTCAGATACTATGGAAAAAGTTCAACTTAGAAGAGTGCTCAAGTACTATAGAAAAGCCCTGAAAGCTCCGACTGCATTTTAAGGGCAATTAAAATATTTTTGGTTGAAAATTGACGGAATAATGTGAACTAGAAAGGAATGTAATCAACATCTGTTCAAATTATAAAACTAAATGGTTTGCCTCAGTTCAATTTGATACGCATTGACCCCTCGCTTTCGCGAGTTATAAGAACGCATTGAACCGCGCGTTGATTAACCCAAATTAGCATTTTTCAAACTACCATAACTTTACGAAGAAATATCACCGGTGAATTTTTTTACATTTGATCTTCGGGAAACAATATCTTTAAAATGATACAAAAAAAAAACAGCCAACTGACAGTTGGAAAAGGGTAATGAACGCAAAAAATACTTGTTTTTTGAAAAGCCTTTAGAAATTCATAGAAAAAGTAGATGGCTTTTCGATTTTGAAGAACAATTTATGATTGACACTTTTTTTGTTGAAATTAACTCAATTTGAGAAAACTGGATCAATAGGTAAAACTTCTATTTCGCTGGGAAATCTGATAACTAATTTCCATTTTCAAAATTAGAAGTCTTACACGTTTTTCGTGACCTTATTGCTGTTAGATAGTGGAGTTTGCTTTCCTTTTAACAAAAGAAATGAATTGAACTGAAAAACAAATCAAAAATCAATCCACGGAAAATCAAAATTGAGCGTGAACGAAGTTTACGACAATCTCCTGGAAAAAAAATCACCAAGACCTAAATAAGAGTACATTTCGTTTATTACTCTTAAAAACTGTGCCAAAACTGCCTTGTTAAAAAGTCGAAAATTGACTGAATAAAAAACCTGCCCAAACATAATATTCTGTTTTCTTCAAAAGTCGTACCACGAACAAAAATTCTCAGATAATACAAGAACAAAACTGGTCCAAATTGAAAACGTCACCAGCACATAGTTTGGACAGCGCGTTCCATTAATTCGTTAAATGTTGCGGTTCAGTTTTTTGTGCGGAATAAAAAGCCCTGACTTGTCTTTCAGTAAATAACTGACTTACAAAACAGCTCTCATGAGGTTATTTTAGTCTTGCTTTAAACGCCAAAAAATCGATTAGTCATTTTTTGTAATTTTTGAGCATCTTTGATTTCAAATGTCCAATGCCGAATTTTGCTCTCTTTTATGGCTCAAAGGTTCGGGCCTAAGGGATTTTCTGCATTTGCGCATAGGCGAGGGCAGTCAAACATTGATTGATATTTCATTTTAATTGTTGGCTCTTGTAGGATCTAGCAATTCCAGTTTCGTCGTGTTAATAGGTGTTACCCGAACACTGTGTCGGCTTAGTTTCCGTTCCTTTTCGCAAATTTTACTACTCAATGTAAATATAAAGCTATCACTTGTCGTTTGCCTAGTGTTCTCTTCAAATTAAAATTCTTTTGAAGCAAAAAAAAAACTTAAAGAAAAATCCCATGTTGAATTTTTGCAGGCTCAATAGCTTTCGTCTGCCAATATATCATATAAAGCTACTTCTTTTTCAAACAGTTGTTTTTTTCAATTGAATTGTCTAATTTATGTCGTCCAATATATCACTGAACACTCGTATTACTAATACTTCGACTTAATTCTGTGTTTTTGTTTTCCGACAATCGAAGCTTTGGCTTTAATGATATCGCAAGTGGTTCAAATCTCCACTTCACCTCTATTTTTCCATAGAAAATTACTAAAAAGTACTCACTGCTAAACTCATTGTCTCATCGCTCGATTCAAACTGGAAGGAAAAAAACTTCCCAACTTCTGCTACCAGGTAACGCGCGTTGAATTTGCGCTGATTTGTCGAGCTGATGCTCACTTCTTTCGTTTCAAAAGCAGACGTCTTCATTTGAAAAGAGAGCCACAGAAGTGCGATCTTCAACAATAACAACAGCGAGAGGCCGCTAGTTCCAGTTGGCATTGTTGGTAAACACATAAAAGCGATAAAATCTCGTCAAATAATTTGTGTTCTATTTATGACTCTTTTCCAGTTGACCAACTTGCAGCAAGAAAATCATATTTGTGCGCGGAGATCAAACCGATAAGAGACAAGACACGCGAATACTTAAGAGAACTGTTACAACAGTAGTTATCAATCATAACCAAGTAAAATATCACGTGAACAGCGGGGGGACGAGTATGTGTTTGAAGGTGGGCAACGAGTGGTTAACCTGATTTGAACAATCATAACCCAGCGGGGAGATTTGAGACACCAAATTATAATAACACTAGAATGCGAATGTGTTCGCTTGTTTAGTTGTGGTAAGAACTGGATTTGAAAGGTTGACTTCGCTTGCTGAAAATGGAATGAGTTCTTTTGGGTGGATTCGTATCAAAAAGAAGCTGCTAATATTCAATTTAATCTAATCATTTTTGAGGCAGACGAGAAACAGTCACTTCAACCCGACACAATTGAATCACATTTCTCAATGATAATTGAATACCTAACACAAACCAAAATAACCTCTAGCAGTGATTTTAAATAACTTGTTATAAATCTTTGGCTCTTTTAGCTGTTCCAAATAAATCTGACATTCATTAACTCGGGTTAAACTTTGTAAATATTGTTAAAGACTGAGATAAACGTAAGCGAAGTGGTGGATTGTTGGGCCGATGGAATGATAATAGAGAGTGTTTTCATTGCATTATAGTTTGCAGGAAACTATTTGAATGCGAAGCGACCGTCCGTCGTCAAAGACAAGGTGGCAAAATTAAGATAGGGAGCAGAGGTGAATGAAAAAGCAAGAAGAAACTGAGGTTAATAAAATGGGACGATAACAATCGTGCTGCTGCTTTTGTCACTTCACAGAAATAACGCTCAGTTGCGCCTCTGCCATTATACAAACACAGGCATACATAAAAATTAGGGCTAATAAAAAGACGCCGACCTAAACTAAAATAAATGCTAAAAAGGCAATCACAACTTATCAAACAATAACCTCAAAAAACGTTTCGATCAAAGGAGCCACAGTGGTAATTTATATGGTATGAAATAATTACCGAATATTGTACAATACGCTAAATGAGCTCTTATCGAGATATTTCAACAATAGGGAGGGCAATTTGTGGCGCTAATTTCCATTTGGCAATAACGCTAGCTTAAAATCCATGAAAAATTATCACCGTTCTGTAAGCACGTAAATAAAACTGTATTCGATGATAAAGCAAGTAGTTTATATTATACACGAAGTAGGAAGTTTATAACCAATAAATATTTAGGTCCTTTCATCAAAATTTCCAATATCGACGTATTGATTCTCAAATGGTCAGATATCTTGCAAATCTTGAAATTTGGAAACAAAAATACTAGTCAGAGCAACATCACTTACCAACTAATTCCAAAGGGTGAAAAATAGAAATGCTGTGAAACAAATAACACTTAGTTCAGTGACATATAAAGAGGGGGAGCTTGTTAGCTGTGTTGCGGCCCTAAGTAGATGGTATATTTCGATGGTAAGAGAGGAAAAGTGACTATTCGCAACAAATAGAAAATGAGTTGGTTAATAAATTTGGCGTGAATTTCAGAGCAGCTTCAGAGGGTCGTGTTGTATATATATATAGTAACATACAAGGTGGTACATTTCTGATCTGAAAGAAAAACAGACTTTTCAGACTATACAATCAAACAGGAATTATTATGTATGAAACTGGGGAGGGATATTTTTAACCGGAGGAGGGATTTAATAAATTATAATTCCACTCAAATTATACTAGCACGCTGGCTTAAAGAAGTTGCCTTGTCGGTTCGGATTAAGTGACAATTTAACTCACCATCTTTCTATATACTAACAACTCTTTTTTTTCTGTTTCTCCATCCCACCGAACTAGTACTCTTTGATTAATCTCCAGCTTACGCTGGTATTTCAACAACATCTATCCAGATTATTATAGTATTTCATCACCGGTTAACCAGCTTATGCTGGTATTTCATCGCCGGTCAACAATTACAAGCACCACCTAGCCAACCCCGCCGACCGTGATTGAGAACTGCTGGAGTAGAGACAGACTACAAGAGACGGTTCCTTGTCCCCTTCAGCGCTTCTACGAGGCACTACTGGAGCTGGTCAAATTCAGAACGTCCAACAGAGCCGACAAAAAGAAGGCCGAAAAAAACTTTCTAGAAAAACTGTTCACCCAGCCATGAATTGCTTTCCAACTAGTCAAATATTTAAAATTTTTCAAAATGTTAAATGTAAATTTCCAAAATAGTCGAAATGTCTTTAAACGCTTTATAATTTCTCTACTGCAGTTGCTACCTACAACTAACAAATCATTTGTCCAATTAAAACTTACCAGATTTTTGAAAACGCAAAAATAATGAAACACATTTCGGCTACTTAAGAGTTTCAAAACTTTTTTTTTAAGTTTCGGCGAAGTTGCCTTTTTGCTGTAGTACCGGTTGCAAAGTAGATCGTTATACTGTACCAGTAAGAACCGGTAAACTTAGTATACAGAAAGGGGTTGATTGAGGTTGTGCAGTGGTGCAGTTAATAGTATCTGGCAACAATAGAGCTTCTGTTATTCCAGTGGCGGCTTCTGTTTAACAGGTTTATAGCTGGGACACAGGTAGTACATCTATCTACACTGATTACTGATTTTCACTATGATGTAATTGCACGGATCCTAATGCTCGCCTAACCTAAAGTTCAAAAAATCCCTCCCCCCGCATAATTTCTCAAATTTTGGAATGAATGCAGAAGATTTTTTTTTGTCATTTTTGATCTCAAAACGGATTCATAAAACATACATTCTTATTGACATCATTCTGAGTTGACATTAATTCCGAACATAAAGAGGAAAGTCCCATTTGCGCCAATATTAGGGAGATGAAAACTGATATTACTAGAGACCAGTATTTTTTAGGCGCAGTGAAAGCGGACCATAATCATAATAAGCAGCCAGCGTCACCACAGCTTAGCAGACCGAAACAATACTACATCGGAACCATAATACCGTATCCATATTTATTTCACCGGTTCACTGGAATTTGGATTGGAATGACGTACGAATTACAATTAGAACATGCTTGGATGGATGCGCCAATAAAAAAGGGTCACTCAGAGAAGAAAACACACGCTGAAAATGACAAAAAAACTCACCCCAAATCTAGATGCTATCATAATAACGCACATCATAATAAACTATGTTCTTACTGCATTTCCACCACGCAAAAAACACTACTTGATGTAAGAACTGGAAAAAAAATTATGCTTTTTGATCTGGTACTTTGGTGAAATGAGGGAAAAAAAACAACCGCAGTAAACTCGTTGTTCTAATTCCCTATTGTTCTCGATCCTAATCGCAACAAAAACAATAAACAAGTCAGACTACTACATGATAGGTTCGTTACTCTATTCGTAATCTATTATTACAGTATTAAAATCAAACCTTTTTAGGATAGAAGGACCGCTAGTAGCAAAATTATTGTCACGTGTCCAATGTTTTAAGAACAAACCAAAAAATAGAAGATAAAAAATAAAAGCTCTGCTTCGACCGGTGTTCCAAAGAAAGTCTTAGTTTGTACAGCCATGAAACAAACGCACAAATATCACAAGGCATCAAATATGATAAAGCACTTACAACGTTTGTAGTGTCTGAATGTATTTAATTTTTCAACAACAGATGTCATTCAGGTTTGATCAAAGCGTGAAAACCAAACTAAGCAAACAGGGAAAACTGAAAAGTTGTATCGAATTGGTGAAACTAAAAAATACTCAAAATCCATCAAATATTAAAACATCAAGGACAAAAATCATCTAGGTGATAAAGTTACTAATTTTCAATTTAAGAAACCCCAGTCACTGAACATGAACGCTGGAAAATTGACCTCTAAAAAATTTGTAGCTCTTTGGAACTTAAAATCAACGGCCCGATCAATTTAACAGTGAGACTTCCCCAACCGATAATTATGACCCCCAATAATTAAGCACCTGAAATTAAGGAACATGACGACTTACATTGAGCACGAGGGGTATGGTGTAGGGACCTTGCGTCAGTTTTTTCCACTTATATGAACTGTGAATTGCTTCAAAAATTAGTTAGTTTAACATGATACATGATGGAAGCAACTAGGGCGCAGAGTGGCTTTCTATGGGCGACTAGATGTAGCCCAAATGTATGCCACAGGAAACCTATTGAGGTGTTCTATTGAACCAGTTTTGGTCGTGATTCAGATTTCAAGAAGACATCTCAATAAAAGTTTCTGTTTCTGGTCCAAGAATTCCCGTTTTGCGACTAATTTACAGCAAGATTATCATTCATGTCAATTGACACTAAATTCCTATCACCCCAATCAAGTTTTATTATAGTATTAACATCAAATGAGCCTTATTATTTGAACTTTTACTATGAATGTGGTCGGAAAATTGTGCTATTTGCACAGCAACAGGCTATCATTGTTGTTCCGACTTTCGATACGAAAGTAACGGAATATTTGTGCTCGGGGTGGGTTTTTTTTTCTTCAGACAAATTTCGACTTTTTAACTAGCCATTTTTGACGGAATTTTTTTTACATCATTCGAAAGGTATTGTTGTTCTGAGCTCAAATTTGAAAAGATATTTCACCTGTGATCATTTTTCGTAAAGTTACGGCGGTTTAAAGATTGCCATTTTGGCCTATTTGGGGGCAATTACGCGCTATATATTTCGCGCTATTAACGCGTAAGCGGGGAGTTAATCCGTCTTAGAAATCGTTCCAAATTGGTTAAAAGAAGCTTATGTGCCATAATTGGTTTGTTACAAGGAGCGAAATCTATCCTTTTGTACTTTGTATGGCGTGTGGAGGGATGATTTTCATTAAAAAATTCAAATTTTAGAATTTTTTTTTTGATTTTGTTTTATTTCATTGAATTTTTAAATGTTATTACTGCTCCATAAACCTTAAAAGGCAGTCGGAACATTCTGGGCTTCGCTCTGATACGAGTAGTCTTGTTGTTCCGACTTTCGATACGAAAGTAACGGAATATTTGTGCTCGGGGTGGGTTTTTTTTTCTTCAGACAAATTTCGACTTTTTAACTAGCCATTTTTGACGGAATTTTTTTATATCATTCAAAAGGTATTGTTGTCCTGAGCTTAAATTTGAAAAGATATTTCACCTGTGATCATTTTTCGTAAAGTTATGGGGGTTTAAAGATTGCCAATTTGGGACAATTAACGCGCGATATATTTCGCGCTATTAACGCGTAAGCGGAGATTTAATCCGTCTTAAAAATCGTTCCAATTTGGTTGGAAGAAGCTTATTTGCCATAATTGATTTGTTACAAGGAGCGAAATCTATCCTTTTGTACTTCATATGGCGTATGGGGGGATGATTTTCAATAAAAAAAATTTCAAATTTTAGAAAATTTTTTTTTCATTTTATTTTATTACATTTTATTTTTATAGATTATTACTGCTCCTTAAACATTAAAAGGCAGTCGGAACATTCAGGGCTTCGCCCTGATACGAGCAGTCTTGTTTATTGTTTGTTTTCCATTTCTATCAGAAACTCGAATTAACTTCGATTTTCCCCACTGTCTGAATGTCCAGCCATGCAGCCAAAAATTATGCACGGACAAATCAATTGCATCAAAACAGGACCACTTAGTTGAGGACGAAGAATTAAGGCTTTGACTTGAATTACTTACTTACGCATATAATGGTTTAAACGTCACTGACCATTTTTCAAAACATCGTTTAGGTTTGTCACAAATTTGACAAACCTAAGTTTGACTTTAATACAACAACCTTAAATATTTTCCATAAGCTTCTTCTTCAACCGTTAAATGATTTATGTGTAAACTAATATTCAAGTGGAAAGAATAATTATTAAAATTATTCAAAATTTTTCGCCATCTCAGCAAACCAAAGGAAACTCGAGAAGTTTGTGTCGTCAGCATGGTATACAGGGATACCTGAATTACCATGTCAAGAGGTTAATGACTAGATTAGATCAAGATAATTGTTTTTAGCAGAAGTGATTTTCAATTTTGTTTACATATTTGTTGTTTACATTTTCCATCAACCATCCTTCTCTATATTTTATTCGCTTTCCCCGACTGTCACCATCTTAAAAAAATCACGCAGTTATGATGCAATTGTATCAAAACAAGCCCAAAACGGCGATGACGAAGATTTTTGGTTTTGAATTGAATTCTTTACGCATAAAATGGTTTAAACAGCACTGGCTTCTATTCAAAACAAATTGGTCTTTTCAAATATTTACAAAAATTTTCGAATTTACCACATCCTTGAAGAAGTTTCAAGAGCCTTCTCTTCGATGGCATAACATGAAAATTTGGTGTAAATGGTGTAAAATTATTTTTTTAAGGAAAAAAGTAATTTAAAATGAAAAGTATATTAAATGAGTAATTTAAAAGGAAATTTTAAATTTTTCTCTGCAAACACAAGTCACAAAACGACATAAAAGCAGCTCTAAAAAGTGTAATAAGAAAAAGTAGATTAAGCCTCGAATGATTAAAACTCATGTTATGCGTCGTGTTCGAACCTGCGACCTCTCAGCCACGGACGCTTAACGATCGTGAAACACTAGCCAAAAATGAAGCAAAGAACAGATGCTATGAAAATTCTAATGCTACAAATTTTGATAATAGCAAAAATGCCACCAAATGAGCTTTATTTTTGCGAGTTAAATTGAAAATAAATTGAAGTCATACTAAAACACTGCGCTCGCTAAAGTAAACATTAGCATTAACAATGAAAAAAAATTAGGTGAACTGTCAAGTGCTCACGGCATATCACAAACATATAAGAGCAAAAAACGCCCTTGTACACAGCTGTTTATTTTGAATAAACAAATTTGCTGAAACAATCAATGATTAAAAAGCCAAGACTAATTGAAAAGAGCACTACGCCAATTTCGTGCAAATTTTGCATAACAATCCGAACGTTTAGGTGACCTTGATTCAAAATTGCCAAAAAATATTTATCTTCTCTTTTCGGATTTTTTTTTGTGTACAGAAGAAAATTATACGTAGAATACGAGGACCAAAAACCGAATGGTCCTATCAAACAGTAACAGAAAAAATATATATTTAAAAATAAAATTCGAATTTTTGACCTTAAAAATAAAAAAAATATAAGAACACCAGATGATCACGCAAACTCTCCAGAGACCCGTATCGCTAAACAAAATCAATTGGAGCACAATTATTGATTTAACAAGGACCGGTTTCTGATTCCAGGAATAGACAAAACACTTGAATTGAATAAAATATAGCTCAGAAAACCGTTACAACGTATGAAGCATGTCTTTGTTTCATCGGATCTTACTTTATTTTTCCCAACCAAATTCAACATCCACAGAAAGCTTCAGAATGGCTTGATTGTCATGTCACTTTTAGATCGTTATTGGAACAGCAAAGAAAAAATTACACACAGAGGATTCGCACCACTTGCGATACAGCACAAAAAAAATCATAATGTCGAAAAAACTAGATCAGATTCAAAACTAGTCTTGAAACAAAAACATGCCAAGACAATAGAATTAAAAATTAGCATCGGAAGATAATTTCCCAAGCGGTAAGAAATACCTTGCCAGAAACCTTTCAAGCCAAAAAATAATCAACAAAATTCAAGACTTATGAAAAAACATTATTTGCAAGTCAAATGAAACAATATGAGACAACTAAGCCGATATAATATAGCCTAAGACCTAAGAAGCCCAAAAAATTGAAAAAAGTTAAGACTAATAAGAAGTTATTAAGCCCCCCACACCACGCCCTCAAAACACAGAAACCCGCACACACAATTTTTCCGCTCGTCAGGGGACGCAATATGAGGCCTATAATAAAGGCCGAAATCTACCAAGCTGAAAAAAAAAGAGAAAAAAACAAAAAAGGCGACGAAAAAACTGTTGTCTTGAAAAATCTGAATTTAATTTCTATTATCATGTTTAGCATTTTTTTCAATCCACAGATGAGCATAAAATTATGTTTCCATTTAAATAACTCAAAATTAGGTCACTAAGCCGATAAAATAAAGACCGAAATCATTTGGGGAGAAAATTTTTTTAAATAAAAAACAAAAAAAGAATTATATACGCTGTCAAGGTTTAAAAAATTTCAAAGAAACAGCAAAGGTAAATCAGAATACTGAAAGCAACTATATTGTATAAAAAAACAAGATTCAAATAAGTGATTTAGTTGGATCGTAAAAACAAAGCGGAAACAAAGCCGACGAAAAGTAAACCGAAAGCGACGAAGTCGAAAATTCAAAAAAATACCAAAGAAATATCATGTAAAAAAACTTGAACTTCGCATTTATTGGAGTAACACTAATAAGGATGCACAGTGAGAGTAATAGACCAACTAGCGCAAATATACGACCCACATACTGCATGCATGTCGTGTACTGCATGCAGCTGAAATCTGTGGACCAAGTTGTTTACGAGAAAAAAGTCTAGTACCCGATTACAATACCCTTGCTATCGCAAGGTTAAAAACTATCAGTTGCGATCAAAATCTCAAAAAAAAATTTCTATTGACTTATTTGAGGGGAGCGTTCAACAATGCCGAAGTATATCAGTGCCGAAACTGAAAATGTGTTTAACAGTCAAAAATTGATCAAATTCGGGAATTTGGAGTTCTTTTGAATCATTGACAGTTTGGCGTGATTACTGTTTTGTTTTGGAGCGAAACCGGCAATTCCGAAATTTGACAATTTACTGAATTAATTGTTCGTTCAGAAAAATTTATGGCGCCGCAGAGGGGTAACTTCAAGCAGCGGCGCCATTTTTGTCTTTTCAACTTCCGTCGATTTGAATATAATTAATTGTCAGCGGTGCTCACGGTACTTTGTACTGCCCCTTTTCGGCCCTTTTGTACTGCCCCTATTTGGCACTTTGTACTGCCCCTATTTGAGGGAGAACAACCAAGGAAACTTTGAATTAAATGGTGGTTGATTGCAGCTTTCTACCCTATTTTAATTGCCGTCTCAAAACCAAGTCAGTTAACATCTAAGCTTGACCAAATACTTAGGAAATAGCAAAGAAGCATGCAAAAACTGAAATATAATTCAAGTGATTGGCCAGATATCTGTCCTGGTCGGCTTATCTTAGGAAAGCTTTCGAAAATATGAAGATTTTTAACTTAGAGATCGGGGACTAAAAACTCTCAGGTAGTAATTGCAGTATATTTGGTTTAATATACTTGCGAAAGAGGAATAAATGGCTTACAATTTGAAGATTAAGAGATCAATGAAATTAAAAAAACACTTAGCTGATGAGCAGAACTCACGACTTGCTGACATTCCATTTCAAAATTTCTCGATTTGAAGTTAACTTCAATATCCTTTTTGGTTCGCTCGTTACCGAAAAGAAAATGTGACATTTCGATTATGATCTTGGTACGTATTACAGTGGGAAAAGACGACCGGGCTCATAGACGGTATCCTAACTTAGAACAAGGCTAGTCGTAGTTTGAGTGATGTCTGTGAATATGACTATTCCATCTAATCCAGGGATACTACAACATAGCCCCAGCTTCCAGGATCCGAAGCCAAGAGGTCTTTCATGCTCCAGATTGGATCTCCTGGTCGCAAAATGACAATGAGCTTTGTCAATTTCCGTCGTCGTTGATTGGGGGTCAGAAAGTTTTATTTCGAAAATCGTTAATTAATAAAACTGCTGGGAGAAGACTTTGAGCTTGTTTTCATGACGTTATATTCGTACCATGCCGCGGCTCAAACAAGGTCACTCATGCTCGTCTACGCTGACAGAAACTGGCGCGAGATGTTCAGAGTCAGTTGAAAAGCTTGTCAGAGTTCTAAAATTCTTCCACTTCGCACGCGAGGTCATACATAGTTTCGGCAACTGTGATGCGCGATTCTTTTGTTTTACCTTATAAAAGTATAGCTGAATACATCAACCAATGTTTTGCAGTGGGTAGGTTAAAGATAATGTCAATCGTATCAGTTCGTTTTGGCCTATGAACCGTTTCGATTCCTGATTTTAACAAAAAAAATTTGTTCGAGTTCGCTTTTGGCTCCAACAAAACACTAACCGTTATCTGATTGAATAAAACTGTACTTTCTAATTGATCCGAAAGTTTAATAGATGGCCTGAGTTTTAGATACCGAGATAAACATATTCTAGTCATTAGAAATTAACTTAAAAAAATAAAAAGCAAATATTAGAATCGGGAGCTTAAATTAGAATCGGATAATTTGACATTTAGGAAAAAACTGAAGACCCAATGACAACATTTCTACTGAGACCAGAACACCTCTGAGTGAAGAAAAGGTGTAAAAAGAAACCCATCAATGAATGAATGAATGAATGAATGAATGAAATAAACTAATATTGCAACATAAAAAAAAATCAGGAGCAGAATGAAAAAAGGCAAAATAACAAAACTGACATCTCGTTTCAAACAACTCCAATTGAATTTCAGGTCAATTGCTATATTAACTCGTCTGTTTTTCAGCCAGAAGTCAAGCTCAAGTCTTTTCATTTATGTTATTGACATGTGCTACAGTAGCGGGAACGACCCCTCAGATATGAGCTTGAACTGAAGCGTATTGAGCAGTCATAGAATGGGAAAAGAACAAAAAAGACACACGTGTTGAATGAGACATGGCGGTCTACTATTTACACGTTACCAACTAATACAAATTACAGTCAACGATGACTTTGATTTACAGATTTTAAGAAGAGCTGAAGCTTCGCGGAGTACTTTCTGATGTAAAGATGGCACAGAAAAAAAGAGTAGCCAGTTTTAGAACTGGTGCACTTACTGGAGTATAGCCTGTCGTCGTTATTATTCCAAGTGGCGTCTTGTGTGATAAGAGAAGGATAATAAGAATGGTATATTGATTAGGAATTGCGTATTACGATGTTTGGCGCAGTTGAGTGTAGTTGTAAGGACGGAATGGTTTAGGTGTCGATCTATCATGAAATATGAATTACGGCTATTGACAAAACGTCTACTTAGGACTAGGTGGATTGGGATTTGGATAAGATAGGCGGAGTTAAGTAAGATAAGAACTAAGAAGAGAAGAAGCGACCTGCTCGCTGTTTGTTTGCCGTGGAAGAAACTGGCGCTGGGATATCACTTTGTTTTCCTGCTTCCCATTCAGCTGTCTCTCCCTTTTCTCTCTTTCTTTCTCACCCTCCTCCCCCCCCCCCCCCCACCCCACTGCTGACCAAAAACACCCCCCCCCCAAATTTGTCTGCAGTTGATAAAATTTAATTCAACACATTTGAATTCACTACATACGCCCATAACGCAAAACACTTAAGATACGCACGACATTTCATGTCTATACTTTCCTTACTCCATATAAATACTTCGACTACTATATTTCTTTCAAATTATGGAGACCATTCAATTTCTCAATCGAGATAAAGAACAAAAATACAACAAATAACGATTCTCTTATATCTATCAACGGAAAAATATATATTTATTGGAGCGATTCTGAGAAATGAATATCTATCAAATTCATTGAAAAGCTTTCAGCTGAAAAACTAACCATCAAATGAAAAGCTATCAGCTGCATAAATTAGCTTTTGCTCAAGAAAAAATTGGGTTTTGCTATTCACTTATTTCGAAAACCGATCCAACCAAAATTCACTTCCATTTAGCCAAAAAAAAAAATGAAGGCCGCCTATCTGACAAAAACTCTTTTGAAAAGTATTTTAACTGCTTTAATCTGATTTTCATACGCCAATTCATCCGCATATTTATTAAATATTCTTCGAGAATTCAGAATTCATAGGTAAACTTATCTTTACGCAGCAAACATTTTCACAGTAAATTAAAAGATCTAACCCAACATCAGAGTATATGGGTGTTAATTTGGACACTGGCTTAGACCGATTGATATTGGGAAGCTGATTGAAATTGCACGAAGAAGCCCTAATAGTAGGAAAACTTGAATCCTCGTTGCTCTCACAAACCAAACTTTCGATACATCAAAGCAACCCTTAGTTCATAGAATGAAAGCTCCTGATAGTGTTTACCTTTGACCCAAAAGTAGAAAGAAACATCTGCTCCCAACTCAGAAACAACAAGTAGTAGTAGTAGTAGTATTCAAAATTACATATGACAAGTCAGTGCTAAATAAAGCGCAACAAGAACATTCGTAAAATGGGATCAAAAATTGCTCCTTTAGATTTTCTTAAAGTTTACCCGAATTGTTGTAATAAACTTATAAAATTGATATGATCTGAATCAACAAACAAGCCGGATAATTTTTACATTTAAGTTCAGGCGCCCTTGACTATGAAATGATTTCAAAGCGCCAGTCGGCAGAACATGGTCTATCTATCAGAAAAAAAATTTTAATTCAAAATTTAAACCAAATAAAATAAGAAAAAAACCGATTTCAAAGCGCCAGTCGGCAGAACATGGTCTATCTATCAGAAAAAAAATTTTAATTCAAAATAAAATAAGAAAAACCGAAAATATAAATTGGCAAAAAAATGACAGGCACTAGATGGGATTCATGTCGAGAAAAAACTTTGTATAATACGCTCAAAAGAAAACGGAAGCTGCTGTATTTGCAAAGAGAATATCATTACTTTTGATTGGCGTAAAATTAGCAAATTCATATAAACTGTGCAATCATACCGGAAACACATAAAGAGCAAATTGAATGCGGTATTAGAGTTAAGTTGCAAAATCAGATTTGGGAAAAAAATGAACATGATCACGCCAAATCGTATTGTCAGTAACTTGAGTAAACCAAATCGAGCAAATAATTCGGTAGCGACAGTTTGTCCATCTGCTCGGCCGTTTATTCCGAGCATTCTAAAAGCCACAAACGCATTAGTTGAGCCAAAACTTGACGCGAAAACGCGTGGTCACAATAATGAGCAGCTCGATCAGGCGACATAGAAAACGAATTTGGAACGTGAAGATGTCTGAATGAAAACAAGCATACATCAAAATGCTTCAGTCGAATTATGCAGAAAAAAAACGGCACCATTATTGGTATTACGAATCTGGCACCGAGTAGCCAAAAATATCTTGAAAATTGTTTACAGTACAAGAGAGATCGGTGACACGTAAGTCGACCAAAACAAGCAGACAAACAATCGGCAGATAATTTCTATGAAACTACATTTTCAGTTTGACAAAAAACAGGACCTGACCGGATTCGATCTAGGTCTTTGACCGTCCCAGACGTAGTCGTTACCCCTAGGACAAGTGTGCCGGAGAAGCTAAGAAACTTGAATTGATTCTTAATCAGGCGATGGTTTTGTTTAACAAGTCTTTAATTCGAAAAAAAATCCATTTTGATTGTTTTCGGATACAATATATATTCGATTTCATAATGTTTGCTAATTGCAATAGTAAAGAAAACATACTAATTTCGAACAAAGCACACATTGTGAAAGAGACTAAAAAGACGAAAAAAAATCAAACAAAAAACCTATAAACACATAAGCTTTTCAAGTTTTCTGCATCAATATCTCATGATACGACTAAAAAACTTTTTGCATCCACCGCCTACCAGTAATCAAGCACGAGCTCAATATAGGTGGTAAGAGTAGATTGTAATATTACCATTGTAAGATATTGCGTGAATAAAAAATCTGAAGCTTAGTTCTGTCCCAAATCGTAGTTGTAATGAAAATGTTTTCGACTTTCTTTTTGGATGCAGCGTTCGCTTATTATCCATCTAACATAACTCAAGGACAAGGAATTTGATTTTGTGGCTCAAAAGTGAAATTCGAGCAGGCTCATTCCTGAAATTTTTTATATCGAGTTTATGAGCACTTTTTGGAATTTTCACCAAAAAATACCAATTTTTGGCGCGCGCTCCTATCCGGAATAATTTTTAGGATTGTTGATCGGATGTAGCAAAATAGTATCAATGGTAGGGACCCTTTATGTTGCCAGGGGGTCGAATCCTTAAAAAGGGCGTCGAATTTCCTCTCCTATTCCCGCTCCTACATTTTATATAGATACATCAGCAAGTGAAAATCTGAGTTTTTATTACATGGACAAAATCTCAAAAATTCTTTAAAAAAATTGAGGGCGAAAAGTACGAATTAGCTTCAAATATTTACGCTTGAACCAATTTCTAGTTAAGTGACAAATGAAGTCGTTCATTAAGGACAAATTGTTGAATTTTCGAACCAATTTGCCGATAGAAGATCCAGTTCAAGTAATGATTGTGAAATTATTCTAAAAATGGTCCATGAAGTCAACAAAAGATAACGTCTCCTGATGTCTATGACGTATTTTGAATTCAATAAAACAAATTAAGGTGGCTCTATCATTTCCAGTACTCTTTCTTGTTTTATAATTCTGACCAGGCTGTGAACTGAAAACTGAATGAAATGCAAACCAAATGCTATTTACACCTGCGGATTTAGGAAAGTAAAAAGGGTGTTTAATCTAGAATGGGACGGAACATAATGGAAAGGTAAATAGGGTCACCATTTACATGGGATGCTAAGTAAACAACACGAGATTCTTTGAGACGACAAACAATTGCAAGTCAAGTAACCCAAAACACAGCGGCCCTTTTAAACACTAACAATCTCATAGGAAACAAAAGTATGACAAACATCAAACCGTCGTTCAAGGCAAATTTGAATTTGCTACAAAAATATGAATAATAGCTTTTTTGTCGAAAAGTTTTTCTGTCACCTTGGTCGGTTTACAAACATTTACAAGCGAAGTTTACAAGATCCATATATCCATGACAACGGTAACAACAGAAGCCCAAATTGTAAAGGAACTAATTCAAAAAACCCTAGCTAGACTGCTAACGCATTTAAATATTTACACTTCAATTGCTTTTGATTCCCATAGGAATTATATAAAATCTTCCTTTTTAAGATAGAATGATTTAGCATAAAAATATTAAATTTGTTCAGTCTGGAAGCATAATTAGCGTGTCAATCGAATCGGAACAGAAGCTCATGGTTATATTTTCAGCTGAAAATATCAGCTAAATATGCACTAAATCGTGAAACAAAGAACAAAAAAGTCAACCCTTACAAATTGCACAATTCTACAAATAGTGCTTAGAAAAAGAAGAATTAATTTCTCGATATTACTTATTTTTAAATCAGACAAACTAACTTTAAATACATCAGTAACAAAGAGCGGACGGCTAACGAACCCATAAGGGTTGCCAAGTGCTGCCCTGAATTTTATTGAAATCAATTTAGATACAACAGATAAGAAAACTTAAGACACAAATAATCAAGCCTAAAAACAACAGCGGAAGAAAAAGATCTGTTACATGCCATAAAATACAAAAAAGGTATGTGGCACCATCTCAACAAGTTGTGCATCTACTGAACAATAGATGGTTCGATTTGAATGACGTAAGCTTTACTGTACCAAAAAAAGCTTATGTCATTCAAATCGAACCATCTATTGTTCAGTAGATGCACAACTTGTTGAGAAGGTGCCACATACCTTTTTATGTATTTTTTGGCATTTGCAAGATCTTTTTCTTCCGCTGTTGTATTTAAGCTTCGCGCCACTTGCGATACAAAAATGAATAAAACCATTAGAAACTTTGCAAGGAGCCACACTTTCAAAAAATTTCTTTATGCGAGAACTAAGCGGACAAAAACAAACAGACTGACAAGTCTTAAACTGACGAAACTTTTCAGGTTACAAAAAAACAGGTCCCGACTGTTATAAACAAACAAAAAAGTACACCAATTTAACAGGGGAAAAACTTATCAGAAATCTTGAGTTGGTGAATTGAGGAAATACCAGGGCGACTGTTAATTATGGTAAAAAATGTCTCATAATAATAAAGTCCAAATTTTGAAAAATAAACCGACAAGAGGCTGACATACGAGAGCCCGACAATTGAAACTTTCACAGAAAAAACTCAATTTCATCTATAAGGAAAAAAAACACAGGAGCCACATGGACGTAAACCCCAGATCTATAGCGCATAGGCAACAGGGTTACCTCTAGCCCAAAAGGGAGAGAAACTGAAAGCTGTTAAGGTTCAAGTTCTTTAATCTGTAAATTCAATTCTTCTCGCAAGAGTAATAAAACAAGTCTAAACAGAGCAAACTCTGT